TTGGAAGGGCTTTTACAAATCTTATGACAATCCATCATTTAATTGTATTTAGGACATTTGTACATATGTTGCCATTAACATTTCCAAAGCATTTTCTTTCTACATGAACCCTTGTTCAAAAAAGCTCCTATTTTTTCCCCTCCATCCCCCACTCTCACCATTGTGAATCCTTGATAATTATATATTATTGTTATTTCATGTCTTACACTGTCTGATGTCTTCCTTCACCCATATTTCTGTTGTTCGTTCTCCTGGGGCGTGAGCTATATATCCAACCATGTAATGGGTTCCCTCTTTCTCTCCCTTCCCCTGCCCCCACTATCCCCTAACCCTCCTGATATCGCTACTCTCACTACTGTCCCTGAGGGTTTCATCTGTCCTGAATTCCATGTGTTGAGAGCTCTTATCTGTACCAATGTGTGTATTCTGGTCTAGCTGGATTTGTAAGGTAGAACTGGGCCATGGTTGTGTTTGTGTGTGGTGGGGAGGAAGTATACAGGAACTAGAAGAATGATGTGTGTTTTGTCAGTGCTAAACTGCACCCTGGTTGAATCATCCCTTCCTTGTTAACCTTCTGTGGGGGGATGTCCAATTGTCTACAGATGGGCTTTGGGTATCCACTCCAAGCCCCCTCATTCACATAGATATAATTGTTTGATTTGAATCTTTTCATACCTGATACCTGCTCCTGTTATGATGATCACATAGGCTAATGTGCTTCTTCTATGTGGGCTTATTTGCTTCCCTGCTAGATGGCTGCTTGTTTAGCTTCAAGCCTTTAAGACTCCAGATGATATATCTTTTGATAGCCTGGCACCATTCACTTTCTTCACATTTGCTTATATACCCATTTTGTCTTCAGTGATTGCGTCAGGAAGGTGAGTATCAAAGAGTGCCAGATTATTAGAACAAAATGTACTTGTGTTTATGGAGGCCTTGAGTCCAAAGTCCATCTGCTATCTTAATACTTTAACATATAAATATATGTAAATTGACCTTTATCCCTTTCATTATAAATTAATATATTTATATATACATGTCTATAGCTATACCTCTATAAATAGTTTTTGCTTCCTACTTCATTCTTCTATTTCCTTTAATCTTCATCCTATCCCACTATCATGATCACCCTCCACTCAGCTCTCAGTAATTCCTCTTGGATACATTGCACTTGATCAACCCCCACCAGGCATCCTTGCCATCATTTTTAGATTCCTTGTTGTTCCCTCATCCCTGAGTTTGTTGGCTCCTTGCACCCCCTCCCAACCCTCTCCCATGTTCCCCTGGGACCACAGGTCCTGTGGTTTTCTCCTCCATTAGTTTACCACCTTAAGGATTAAACCCTCTATCTAGCCCTACACTCAAAATACTAAGTTCTGTCCTAATCTCCCCCTCTTCCATTCACATTCAGGGTGAAGAACTTGAAGAGGACATACATTCTTTCACTTTGTTTGCCTATATACCTTGGCTTACGTGCCTTTCAGCTCCCAGTGTTCTTCATTCCCATCTTACTTGGTGGAAACCCAGCTGACTTGAGTCCAGACTACTAAACCACTTCTTCCTTTACAACCCTACCTCAGTTCTGCTTGCTGCTTGAAACTTCCTTCCGGTACACACTGCTACCACCTCTTCCCTTGACTTCACATCTGATAGTAATGAATGTTTGCTGCATGGACGTGAGGAGCACTAGTGGTGTAGTGGTTAAGTGCTGGGCTGTGAACCAAATCCTGATGGCTAGAATTCACCAGCTAGTCTGAAGGAGAAAGATAGGGTAGTTTACTTCTGTAAAGATTTACAGCCTTGGAAATCCTATGGGGAAATCCTACATTGTCCTATAATCTTACCAGAGTAATTACGTGTACAGTTTAGGTCCCCCCCCCCCACCCCGTTTCTTTCTTCCCGTTATAAGACAGCATGAATACGTTAGGATAGGATCCTGAGAAGACTCAGGACTCCAGGGTTCTAAAGCAAGCCAGGTCGTAGATGGCTCTCAGGCTTGCTCGCTCTCTCTCTCTCACTGTGTGTGTGTGTAGGGGGCGTGGGGTGGGGAGGGAGTGGGAGAGGACAGAAACTGAGCAGCCCAGATGACCTCCTCCCGTTCTGCTACACTCCAGAGTTGCAGAACACTGAAGTGTGAGGGACTCCAGGCACTGACGCGAAGTCCAGGGTTCCAAAAGCTGTGCGAAGAAACCCCAGTTGCGTACAGTTTGTGGCAACTTCAGATCAGACGCTCTAGATTTCCGGAGGGTCAGGAATCTCTGTGGTTGGACAGTATATGTCTGTCCGTACCGGGAAGGATGTATTTTTCAGAGCTAGCAACTGGGATCAAAAAAATGGAGACTTTAACCCCCTGAATGATGACAGCTATTAAGAGAAGTGGGGCCCCAAAGGAGGGAATCTGGGATATTGGTGAGGCAGTAGCAGTAATGTAAATCTGTGCCGCCAGCCTGGGGCTTAGCGTTCGATCAGTGCCGCTAATTGGCCGATTAATTAGGACATGGGCGAGGCCTTCCAATCTCGCGAGCCTGGGACGCGTAATCCCTGGCGACGTAAATACAGGGGTCGGTTTTCATTCCCTGGGAGCTCGGCGGCCGGCGCGCAGCTGGAAGGGCGGTGCTCTCAGCCCCACGTTACTGAACGGGCTCCGGGCGGCTTCCGGACTGAGACTTGTGGACGCGCCACGAGGAGGCGTGACTTCCTGGACCGGCGGCTTTGCATTGGACTCGGCAACCGGAAGGGGTGGGAGTCCCTAGAAAGACCGCTCAGCTATAGGCTGGAGATGAAAAGACCTTGGTTTTGAGGGCGGGGCGAGGGGTTGGCTGGACAAGTGGACGCGGAGGTGGGGGTGGTGGTCCTTAAATGTGCGCGTGAGCGACTCTATTTGGGAGTAGGGGTCAGAGAGTCTTGGTGACTTCCAATCGCGCTGAGGAGGCGTCGGGATGAGACTGAATTTGGTAAGTGTAGACCTGTGAGAAACTCTGGTGCCCCATCCTTCCTGGGACCTCGGGTGGCACGCGACCCCTCCCCCACCGCTGATCCTGTCGCTGAGCCCTACCTCTCGTATGTGCAGCTGCACTGCCCTGTGCTAGCCCCATTTTTTGCCGAATCAGCTTAGGGAAATTGAAAATTCATGGCCCTGCTGCCCTAATTCGCAGAAAGGAAACTGAGGCCGGGAAGCAGTCCCCTCCTCACCCTCGTCTCCACGTAGACACCATGGCCGAGCCCCTAAAGGAGGATGACGGCGAGGATGGCTCTGGGGAGCCCCCCGGAAGGGTGAAGACTGAACCTGCCAACCCTACAACCTCGGTAGCCATCAAGAACCTGGCTCTGCTCAAAGCCCGCTCCTTCGACGTGACCTTTGACGTGGGAGAGGAGTACGAGATCATCGAGACCATAGGCAACGGGGCCTATGGGGTCGTGTCCTCTGCTCGCCGTTGCCAAACGGGTGAGCCACACGGGTCCAGAGTGAGCTGGGCCCTGAGGCAAGGAGCCCTTCTCCCCGTTTTCATTCTCCCACTTTATGATTCTCTTAAGACAGTTGTGCCACCCATCTTATACAGCTTCAGTCCCTGGATCATAGAGAGCAAGTAACGTGCCCTTTCCTTGTCAGCAGTCAATTCTGACTCATAGCAACTGGGCTCACATAAGAATGATAGCTGGAATATGAATTCTGGTTCAGTTCAACAAATACCGAGTTAGGTGTCATCTGTGGGCCAGGCTCCATGTAAGGTACAATTCTCCGAAACTGATGGTTTTACATCTTGTCAATCTACTTTCTGGAAGACAACCTGCCCTTGGTGTCCAGGACAAAAAAGTATTCTCCAGTTATTGGGGAAAAGAATCAGTAGTGGTAGTAGAAGAGGATGGTGAAGTCTGAAATGGTGAATGTAGGGAAGTAGATTGAGTGGGGACATTGAGGATTAATGCTAGCACTAGCTGTGCAATGTGCTTCATAAAATAGTTTGTGAAGTTAATTTTGATATTTGAAAGACACTTGTACTCAGTATACACAATTTATGTGGTAGCTGTTATTTGTACCATCATCCTCTGGTACTTAACTTGCCTGTTCCCTGCTCCCAGGCCAGCAGGTGGCCATCAAGAAGATCCCTAACGCGTTTGATGTGGTGACCAATGCCAAACGAACCCTGAGGGAACTGAAGATACTCAAACACTTCAAGCATGACAACATCATTGCCATCAAGGACATCCTGAGGCCAATGGTGCCTTATGGCGAGTTCAAATCTGTGTAAGGCGTGGAACTGGGAGAGGGTGGTAGAGTTGGTACCTTTTCTGAAAGCTGGCAACATAATTGCTGAAGTTCTGAAAAGGCAGAGTCTAACAAAGTCAGGCTGGGAAAATTCCCATGATTTCAGCATAAGTGTTATTTTTTGAGAGGAGTACAAACATTGCAGCATTATAGAATCTCACTATATTTGGTCAAAGGTGGCAGACATGTGACATTCATGCTACCACTAAGGCTTTTCCATAGCAGGCGTTGCTAATCAACAGCAGAACCCTTTCCTACAGAATTTGGATATGTCTTCCCAGTTTTTATTATAGTTATTCAACCAGCATTACCAAACAATGGAGTTAGTCCTCAAATTATTGGCGAGCACTAGTTTATTCAGATCCTGTTTTTATATGATGAAAAAGTGATTTAACCAAGTTTGTGGTGAAATTGTAGAGAAGGTAAACTTGTGCTTTTCTTCCATACTATTCTATGGGTTGTTTTTGGGGTGGGGTGGAGGGAAGGTCATTATTTGTCTGGAGTAAAGGTAAAGCACTAAGGCTGGAACTAGTCCCTAGAGTGTAGGAGGACCAGCCCTGTCTCTCCTTGCCTTTATTACAGCTATGTAGTCCTGGACCTGATGGAAAGTGACTTGCACCAGATCATCCACTCTTCACAGCCACTAACACTGGAGCACGTGCGCTACTTCTTATACCAGCTGCTTCGAGGCCTTAAGTACATGCACTCAGCTCAGGTCATCCACCGGGACCTCAAGCCCTCGAACTTATTAGTGAATGAGAACTGTGAGCTCAAGATTGGGGACTTTGGGATGGCCCGTGGCCTGTGTACCTCTCCTGCTGAACATCAGTACTTCATGACTGAGTATGTAGCCACACGCTGGTACCGGGCACCCGAGCTAATGCTTTCACTGCATGAGTATACACAGGCTATTGACCTGTGGTCTGTGGGCTGCATTTTTGGAGAGATGCTAGCCCGGCGCCAACTGTTTCCAGGCAAAAACTATGTGCACCAGCTGCAGCTGATTATGATGGTGCTGGGTACTCCATCACCAGCTGTGATTCAGGCTGTGGGGGCTGAGAGGGTAAGAGCTTATATCCAGAGCCTGCCACCACGCCAGCCTGTGCCCTGGGAGACAGTATACCCAGGAGCTGACCGCCAGGCCCTCTCCTTACTGGGCAGCATGCTGCATTTTGAGCCAGGCACCCGCATCTCAGCAGCTGCTGCCCTGCGACACCCATTTCTGGCCAAGTACCATGACCCTGATGATGAGCCCGACTGTGCCCCACCTTTTGACTTTGCGTTTGACCGTGAAGTCCTCACCCGGGAGCGCATTAAGGAGGCAATTGTGGCTGAGATAGAGGACTTCCATGCTCGGCGTGAAGGCATTCGCCAGCAGATCCGTTTTCAACCTTCCCTGCAGCCTGTGGCCAGTAAGCCTGGCTGCCCTGACGTTGAGATGCCCAGCCCTTGGGCACCCAGTAGAGACTGTGCCATGGAGTCACCTCCACCAGCCCTACCCCTGTGCCCTGGCCCTGGCCCTGACACTATTGATTTGACTGCTCAACCACCTCCCCCTGCTACCGAGCTGGTCCCTCCAAAGAGAGAGGGTGCCATCTCAGACAACACCAAGGCAGCTCTCAAAGCTGCCCTCTTGAAGTCCTTGCGTAATCGGCTCAAAGGTATTTTGTGGATGGAGTGGCTGGCCTGGGAGTGGGGTGGGAATAAGACCCCAGGCTGGACTGGGTTGCATGCTCTCAACATTCCCTACCTTACTTCCTTGTAGATGGCCCCAGCATTCCTCTGGAGGCCCCCGAGCCTCGGAAACCAGTGACAGCTCAAGAGCGCCAACGGGAGCGGGAGGAAAAGCGGCGGCGGCGGCAAGAGCGGGCCAAGGAGCGGGAAAAGCGGCGGCAGGAGCGAGAGCGAAAGGAGCGGGGGGCCGGGGCCATTGGGGTTCCCTCCACCGACCCTCTGGCTGGGCTGGTGCTCAGTGACAATGACCGAAGCTTGCTGGAACGTTGGACTCGCATGGCTCGACCCCCAGCCCCAGCACCACCCCAGGCCCAGCCTGCCAGTCCTCTTTCCGGCCCTGTAGCCCAGTCCACTGGTCTCCCAACTCAGCCTGCGGGCTCCACTCCTGGTCCTGCCCCTCAGCCTACCTGCCCACCCTCTAAGCTTACTCCCTACCCAACAGGCTTACCTGAGCCCATCCATGGCCCTGCTTTGATCCAGACCACCACTTCCAGTCTTCTGGGTCCCCAGTCACTTATACCAACTCCTGGGCTGCCTGGCCCCTGTGCCCTGGAAGTCCTGCCTTACTTCCCATCTGGCCCAACCCCTCCAGATCCTGGCGTGCCTCAACTCGCCACCTCAGAATCACCAGATGTTAACCTGGTGACCCAGCAGCTATCCAAGTCACAGGTAAGAGAAGAGACCCGGGTGGTGGGTGCAGGAGAAGTGGGTTATTGTCAGTGGGGGCAGGTAGAAGGTAGAGGGTTTGCATGCCCTTGTTTCATGAAAATTTTGAGGTGGGGGTGTTCTGCCTCTCTAAGCTTTTCCTTATCCTTGAGCAGGAACGTGGTGCCTAAGTACTGGTTTTGCGACAAGGGTATTGTTGGGAAAACTCTGTACCTAGAGCTGGACACCCAGCTTCCCAGGTGTCTCTGCATCTGCTTGTGCGGCGTCTGCATTGTAACCTCACTCTTATTCCCTGCAGGTGGAGGACCCTCTGCCCCCTGTGTTTTCAGGCACTCCAAAGGGCAGTGGGGCTGGCTATGGTGTTGGCTTTGATTTGGAAGAGTTCTTGAACCAGTCTTTCGATATGGGTGTGGCTGATGGGCTTCAGGATGGGTAAGGGCAGGGCTGGTTAGACTGAGCTGCTGGGAGAGGTTGTGGGAAGGGGACCCTGGTGCAGGAGGTTCTCCATGGGGTGGGTGAGGGACTGGCCTAGGATGACAGCTTCCTGCCTGCCCTTTTCCCTCCAGCCAAGTGGATTCAGCTTCTCTGTCAGCCTCCCTGCTTGCTGACTGGCTGGAAGGTCATGGCATGAACCCTGCTGACATTGAGTCACTGCAGCGTGAGATTCAGATGGACTCCCCAATGCTGCTGGCTGACCTGCCTGATCTCCAGGATTCCTAAGGCTCCTAGCTTGTGCCTTGCCACCAGGAAATGGGCCCAGCTCTAGGTCCATGGGAGTATTCTTGAGAACCGGAGCCCTGAGCCAGCAGGTGAAGCTCAACATGGATTCAGCAGATTCATCTCAGACCTACACTACAGCCTTAAGCAGCCACTGAGCCATGGCAAGATTGGGGGACTCCTACTGCCTCATGTTATCTTTTCAGTATTGTATTTTATTATGCATTTTTTACACTCTCTTTTTGTCAATAAAACGAGGAAGAATCCGTTCACCATCTGACTGTAGATGTCATTTTTGGAATTAGCAAATGCATTTGAGAGAACAACCACCAAAGCCAGTTCATTTAGTTCCTGCAGATTTATTGAATCAGCCTGCTCCCATCTCTCAACTCAGCTATCTTGGATCACGGATTGCCAATTTTTGGCTGAGCTGGAACAGGGCACCTTATTTCTATGCCTACTTAACTAATGGCTATTTCCGGGTATCATACATTAGCTGTACTGAAATGCAGTTTTAGTTGAGCTTTGGGGACTGGGACTTGCAGATGGGGGAAGTGGAGATGGACCATGGTACTCACCATAGGAGGTAAGTTATGGAAAGGATGCCAGAGGTAGAGGATACTCTTAGAATAGCCAGAAAGAGGCCTCTGGTTCCATTGCTAGCTCAGTTGGAGGAAAGTAAGGAAGCTGGCTGAAGATAAACATAAATGCCTACAGCTTGTGGAGTGATTTATAGCTCTGCAACTGTTAGGACAGGGTGGAGGCAGCTCTGATGTGGATGGAGTCAATCCAGGTCTAGGCTGGGAAGCTGCAGATTGTGCAGTTTTAAGGTTGAACAGAAGGATATTTGGGGGGCCCCGGTATGGGGAAGGGATCAGTTATGGCAGAGATTCACAAGGGCCTGTGAGAAGCTGGTGTTGGGGGAAGAATAATCAACATGGGAAGGAATTAGGGAGGGGTCAGAGGGAGCGAGCACCCATGAGCCCAAAGTGGCAGAGTGGAGAGGGATGGGGAGCCCAGCTTTTAAGCACGGCGAATTTTCATCTCAGTGCGCTTAAGGGAGTAGTAGAAGCCCTTCCACTGGGCCCAGTTGATGCCGTTGGCATAAGAGAGGTGGGTACCACCCAGGTAGAAGCCATTGAGATTGGCGAAGTGGCAGCTTCGGAACCAGAAAGCCCCTGAGGAGAGGACTGCACAGTTCTGCATAAAGAGGTCCTGGTCCCTGTCGAAGGTGGAGAATTTCTGACCGCTATGGTAGGACAGGGAGTCGCCTGTGGGGACAAAGGAGTAGGATGGGGATAATTAAGGTTGCTGAGGAAGAGAGCTGAGCCCCTGCTGGCAGGGAGAGTGGGTGACAGCAGTAATGTGTGACACTGTTGGAAACCACATGGCAGCCTGGTGGGATAAGGGGCACCTCCCTGAGCCAGATATCTTGGGTAAATATACTTCTGCAATGAAGAGAAACAGCTGCTTCTCTATAGCAACCTTGGAGCAAAGCCAGACTGCTCCCTGGGGCTGAGTTCCAGACTGATTGGGAATCAGCTCTGACCCTTTCAAGCCCAGAAAAGGAGAAGGAGGGGCTTGAAGGGAGTCTGGGATCAACTGGGCAGTGCCAACCCCTGCCTTTACCCCTCTTGACCCCTCAAGCTGTTAGTGGGCAATACCTGCTCCACCATCTTCAAAGCCTGCCACGTAGAGAGTATAGCCATCCTCCTCAGCGCTGACTGCATTAGGTGAGATGGAGAAGTCAGTGTACTTCGCAAAGGCTGTGTTGTTCTCAAAGTCTTCCAAGTCCACGCGCAGTTCATACTTCTGCTTCAGTGTCAGGAGGTGAAGGTTCTGCAGCCCTGCAGAAGAGGGAAGGCTAGTTCAGCCTGCCTCTGGGCATCCTCCCTACCCTTTCCCAGTAACTTCTCTCTGGCTTACCCAGCCAATACTCTCCATCTGCACGGCCAAAGCCCAGCTTGTAGTCATTCCAGCCCCGAAAGAAACTCACTGAACCATTGAATCGCTTCTGGAAAACCTAGAGCAGAGGACAGTAGACTAGACCAATGGAGGGGAGGGTCCTGTTGGCAGAGGCCTCACCTTACTCTGCCTATAGACTCTGCAATATTTAGGGCAAGTGTTAGAAGGCTGAGCTTGTAGTAGCTACTTTGTGCCAGGCCCCCAGCTGGACTGTAACAAGCAATCACATGAGAGGCAGAAGGGAAGGGATTTAGAGGGCACGTTCTAGAGTTCAGGTGCTTGGGTATGAGCCCTGGTATTGGCTCTGTAGCCTTGGGCAAGTATGTCACCTCTCTGGGCCTCCTTCCCAAGTTCATTCTATGGATTAAATGCATTAACTTACCTTCAGCACTTAAGTTTCTGGTGGCTGCTTACAAGCTATTATTCCCATTTTACAGGTTCAAAGGGAAGTTCAGGGTCACACAGCTAGAGCTAATACAAGGTTTATATGAACCAGCTGTATGGCCTCAGTCACACACCCCCCCCCACCTCATACACATAGACTTACTGTCCACTTTCCACCCTCAGTGGTCATATCACAGAAGACAGGTACAGGTACACTGGGGCCAGAGGGGTAGATGAGGTACACGCCATCAGCCTGGTAGCCCTGGGCATAGATGTCATCACAGTCCAGGGGGTGCTGAAGGTAGGACTTCTCCAGAGCTGGTGTTATGTGGGGGATGGGAGGGGCATTTGGGATTAGTAAGGGGAGAGGGACTAGGGCATTAAGTACCTCTCCACACCCAACTGTCTGCTTCAGTTTTTGAGGCAGGATACTCACAAGGAAGTGGGTGGGGGGCACTCAAAGATCTACCTGCCCCATATTATAGAAGAGGGAATAAAATTCTGGGGAGCTGGGAGTCAACCAGGAGGCTGGAATCCCAGGAACGGTGGCTCCGAACAGCCTCTCCTCGCCCAGGCTGCTTACCTGCTGTACTTGTGAACATGGGGCTGCTTACCATCTCCTCGAATCCCAGAGGCTTGGGGCGTACAATGGGTGGTAGAGAGGAGCAGAAGCAGCAGCAGCGGCAGCGACAGCGCCTGGAGGGCCTGCAAGAGGAGAGAAGGGAGAGCAGGGTCCCTGCATTCCTTAACCCTGAGACCCCAGCTTTCCTTAAGTGTACCCTTGTGACATCTCCCACCCTTTCAGAACCCCTCTGCCTGGCCTTTGACCTACCAACTAACCCTGCTCTTGGGCAGGCTCAGAACTTGATCATCTATTTGGGGCAAGAGATCCTTTGTCCCTTTATAGTCCCTCTTAGTCAAGGGTGGTGCATAACCCCCACTCCCCCCCGCCCTCCCCCGGGGAGTGGGCTTTGCTCTGGTGCCATGGGAGTCCCCACTTTGGGCCTCTTACCTTCATATTGTCTGTTCACTGCTGGGTGACTGGGTATCTGCAGCTCAGACTGCAACTGCCTGGAGTTATGTGCTGGGGTCTGGCCAGCCTTTCCAGCCCCGCCCTATGTCTGTACGTCCCCCCCACCTCCCCCCCACAACCCAGTGTACTAGCATCAGCTTACACTGAGGACTGGGCCAAGGGACCACCTGTGTCTCATTAGGCCTGTCAGAGGCAGAGCTCAGCAGCCTGCTGGCTCTGAAAGTACTCTGAATTCCTTGTCACCCCACCCCCAACCCCCATCCCAACCTGTTCTCCCAACTGGCTCCAGCCTGGTCTTTGCTTTCTGATAATCCTTTCCCCCACATATCTGCTTATTTCCTTCCCTCCTGTACACTATGTTTCATTAACCATGAGATGCTGGAGGCCTAGGGGTAATGGTAAGGCGGTGCGCCTGAGTTCTGGGAGGGGGGTGGCACTCAAAGGGGAGCTTCAGAGCTCCTAATGGGACTTGGCTGGGCCTTGGGGGAGGCAGCAGGAACCAGGAAGTCTCCTGGCAGAGCAGGGACATTGCTGAGCAATGAGCACAAGCTCATGTGGCCAGTCCTCTGTCTGCCTCTTGTTCAAGCCAGGCCCCAGTTCTCTTTTGGTCTCTTCCTTTCCTTGAGTTCCTTCCACCCCACCATTCCCCTCCCACAAAGTTTCTTGGTCTCTGCCTGTCTATTCCCCTTAGCCCCAAGCATAGGGACCTCTTTTGTTTCTCCTTACTCTTCCTTCCTTTCACAACCCTAGTTTTCACCCCCTAACCCACCCTATATACTCCCTCAGGTCCTTCCCAGGCCTTCTTAATTTCCCATTTCCTCAGCTTCCAGGGGCCTGGAGCCCCTGGAAAAGGGTACCATGCTTGGTGAAATAGAAGGGCAATAAAAAATGGAAAACCCTCAACCAGATGAATTCACACAGTGACTGAAATATTGGATTTAAACACCAATTATGAGGATGGCGCGGGACTGGGCTGTGTTTCATTCTCTTATACATAGGCTCATTATGAGTAAGAACCTATTCAATGGCACCTAAGAAGAACAAGTTTGCAGCTCCAGGTCTTGTCTCTTTGACTTCAGCCATTGCTTGGTGGTCCTACCCCTTCATTTGACAATGGATTCTGTGTTTGAAAGCAATGCTTTTGCCTACTATGTGAACAATAAGGACCTGCAGGGAAGAACTCTAGAGGCAGCAGCCCAGGTATACTGAGCAGCGATGAAGGCCTTGCAGGGCTGCTAGATATGAGTTCTTGCGGCCATGGTGATTGCGCAGAGAAAGGGAAGAGACTATAACCTTTTACTGGAGTAGAAAGCCTGGTATTTCTCCCAAGAAGAAAATGGTGATTTTGAACTGGGACCTATGTTAGCAGCCTAACGTGTAATCATAACACCAGGATTCCTATGGACAGAATATGTTTCAATAAAAAATAGATACTTACTGGACACATACATTGTGATCACTTAACTATTGTCAAATTGTTGTGATCACCTAACTCATGGTGACCCCATCTGTATGCAACAGTTTGAAATGTTTCTGGGCTCTGGGGCATCTTCCTGATTAATTGCAGATAAGGCCATTTTGGTTCATAGGGTTGTCAATGGCCATTTTTCAGAAGTTGATCACTAGACCTTTCTAGTTCATCTTGATTGGTCAGCTGCTGAAATCCGTTAAGCATCATGGCAACACAAAAGCTTCCAATGGTAGCTGTACAAGAGGTTCATTGAGCAAGAGAAGTCTGCGGGGCCGGCCCTAATCCCAGCTACGTGGACCTCCTCCCCAGAAGGCGGCACTATAGACAACAGTACTGAAGCTACAGCTTGGGAAGAGGGGTGAGTCTGCTCAGAATACTAAGAGGGAAGGAGCAAACTAAGAAGGAAGGAGAGAGAAAGAGAAAGTGGAACTCATCCTGGCCCACCAAGCCCCAAGGTCACTGTTCCTGCTTGGAGCAGCCAATGCACATAGAGGATCAGAGGGCCAGTCCAACCACAAGACACAGTGTGCCCTTATTGACCCATAGCACTATGGGGGACAACACTAGAGACACAGTCTGGGAATTTGACCTATCTGACCCCACCACACCTGGGCAAACATGAAGGGCATGCAAGAGAGCAGCAAGGAGAGCAAAGCAATGAAGTATCCGAGGAATCTCAAAAATAGATTTTGGGGGCAGGGCATGACACCTCAGCGGACTTGATCAGAAAACATTTATAAAGGTCAACAGACAAACCTGGAACTATTTAGCCTTTTCTTTTTGTTGTTGTTTTTGTTTTTTTATGTCTATATGTAAGATAGGCAGGATAAACAATCCCAAGTAGAAAACCATGGGACTGACGGTTCTGGGAGACATGGGAGGGAGGGCAATGAAGGGGGGTGCCAACAAACCCAGGGACAAGAAAACAAGAGTGATCAAAAATCAATGGTGAGGAAGGTATAGGATGCTAGGTGCAATGTAGCTGAGTGCAATGTAGCTGAGAGGAATTAATGAAAGCCAAATAAAGGTCGAACATGATAGTGGAACAAGAGGAAAGTAAAAGGAAACAAAGGAAACAACAAGGAGGCAAAGGACATTTATAGAGGTATAAATATAGGCACATACATATGTAAATATATTTATACATAATGATAGAGACATAGACCTATGTACATATATTATATGTTAAATGTTAAGGTAGCAGGCAGACATTGGGCCTCTACTCACGTACTCCCTCAATACAAGAACACTTTGTTCTAATAACTTGGCATTCTGTGATGCTTACCTTTCCGACATGATTGCTGAAGACAAAATGGGTGTATGAGCAAATGTGAAGAAAGCTGATGGTTCCTGGCTATCATAGCATCTAGGATCTTACAGGCTGAAAGATAAACAAGGGGTCATCTAGCTGGGAAGCAACAAATCCCACATGGAAGAAGTACGCCAGCCTGTGTGATCATGAGGTGTTGATGGGATCAGGTATCAGGCATCAGAAGACCAAGAACAAACGATCTGATGTGAACTAGGGAGTGGGGCATGGTGGAAATCCAAAGCCCATCTGCAGACAATTGGATATTCCCTCACAGAAGGGTCACAAGGAAGGGACGAGCCAGCCAGGGTGCAATATAACACTGACAAAACATACAACAGTTGTCTAGTTCTTTAATGTTTCCTCCCCCCAACTATTATGACCCCAACTCTACCTTACCAATCTGGCTAGACCTGAGCATGTACACTGGTACAGATAAAGCTCTCAAAACAGGGAATCCAGGACAGATAAACCCCTCAGGAATAATAATGGGAGTAGAAATACCATGAGGTAGGGGGAAGGTGGAGGGAGAAAGGGGGAACAGATCATGAGAATCAATGTTTAATTGCCCACCCTCCAAGGGGAACAAACAACAGAAAAGTGGGTGAAGGGAGATATCAGCCGGTGTAAGATATGAAAATCACAATAATTTATGAATTATCAAGGGTTCATGAGGGAGGAGGCATGGGGGAGGGAGGGGAAAAATGAGGAGCTGAGACCAAGGGCTCAAGTAGAAAGAAAATGTTTTGAAAAGGATGATGGCAACATATGTACAAATATGCTTGACACGTGGCTGTATAGATTGTTATAAGCACTGTAAGAGCCCCCAATAAAATGATTATCAAAAACAACAAAGGAAAATTTATAATTCTTATAATATATCATATTGTTCAAAGAAAAGTTATGAAATACAAAGCAGAACAAAAGAAGCCAAAATTCTCTCTCAAAAAATAAAAAGATAACAAGAGGTTCATTGAACAGGAAGCAAACCTGCATGAAGGTGAGAACTTACCACTGAACCACCACTACCTTATATGTGCTTGCTATATGTTGTAGTAGCTGCTGGGCTTATATTGTCTGTCCACAGGAGTATCTGTAAATGTTTATTACAAGTGTAGTTTGTATCATGAAAGGATGTTTATTCAATGGAAGAACAAATTAAATACTCAGACACAAAGCAAGAAGGGAGCTGTTACTCAGTTTCCTTTTTCCCACTCCAGAATCCTTAAGCTCATTGGGAAAACCCTAGTCTACCTCTTTGATTTTTGCTCTATAATTGCTGGTAAGGATTGTCACTGTTCAGAGTGTTCTATTTGGAATTCTGGAGCCAGGCTGCATGGGTTTAAATCTAGATTTTGTCACCTATTAGCTATGTAATCTTGTGAGTTACCTAACTTCTGTGTCTCACTTTCCTCTGTGAAACAAGGACATGAAAGTACTACTGCATAAGGATGTGTAAAGATTAAGTAATACATGTTGAGCACTTATAACAGTCTTTGAAAGTAGTAAATATTAGGAAATAGCTATTAAATGTTAAGTTGCTATTAAATAAATAATAGTAAATATTACTGAATAGTAAATTTATTAAATAGCTATCATCATCATTGTCATTTTAGTGGAGTAATTGCTTTGTATAAATGGGTGACTTACAACGCAATTGGTATACTTGCCTAGGAAAGAGACAGTTAACTATCTCTCAAGGTATTTTTGCTTTAGTCCTTTCATGGTACTAAGAATCTTGCCTGATTTTTAGCTAGGTTTTGTGCCCCCCAGGTGAATTTGCATGGTGAAAGGTTAGTAAATAAGATAGAAGCACAAGTGTGGAAGCAGGTGGCCAGTCCTCTTTATTCTGTCCTCTGTCTTACTGCTTGAGTTCTAGGCACCACCTTGGATAGTAAGGACAAGAGTCTCATTGTCGGGAGGGGTGGACAGGGAGAATCTGAATCCCTGCGACTGAGTGGAGCTGGACCATGTTACCTTCTGGGATGCCCTTCTTGAGACTACTTTTATGTGAAACAGAAAGACATATCATTAGAAAAAGCTTCTATTTAGTTTAAGCTTCTCTCTCTCTTCTTTTCCTCTTGTTCTATGCCACTGTATCTAATCTTTTAATGTTTTCTCTTTTGGAAAACACCAGATTATTTTAGTACAAGGCTACATAATGAAAAATAAGCCTTTAAAACAAATAGTAAAAAAGTATTAAAGACATTTAGAGAATAAAATAGGAATCAGAAGAGTGAGGAAGCAAAAAAAGTGGCA